GGATCTGTATTATTTAAGAATTTCTAAAAACTAAAAGCTTCTAAGCTCTTTTGCTCTAATTTAAAAGAATTGAGAGCTGTAAACTCACAATTTCTAGAATTCTGTATCCTCTCTAAAAAAGATTCTAAATCTCAAAGAGAAGAGAAACTTTGAACTTGAAAGAAGAAAGTGCCACAAAAACGCCATATTTCTAGGTAACAACCGAGAAAATGTGTCAACCTAAAATCCCCGACGTTCTCTCCTAAATCACAATTCCAAAAAAATGGACTTCTACAAGAGTCACAGGTTTCTACGAATTCTCCCTCGATCAGCGAGAAGGATCGTATGGTCCTGGAGAACGGAGAACGGCGAGACCATCCGGTTCACCGAGAACAACTCGATCGAGGAGTGTCTGATAGAATTGGTGAACATCTGTGTTCCTGCAATCGCGATCCTCGTCGCTCTGATCATCGTACTCAAGCACAAATGGTGCAAACGCAAGAAGTAAGCTTGAAATGTAAACGATAAAAATCTGAGATTTCAATTTCACGGTAGAAACACCATGAACGACGGTGTAATTGCACGCTAATACATTGGAAAGTAACTTTAGAGTGACTTTTTACACTTCGTTTAACGGAGAGCTGATAGCAGAGAGGTTTAGAGGTTTGTTTGGACGTTGATTTCGCGGTCACTGATACTCTTGCACCGATAATAGCAATCGATGTCACGTGTTCGAAAGTTACTCTTGAAAACGATAAGATTTGGATATTTGCAAAAGCAGCTGTGTGTGACTTTAGATGCAACGATTATTTATCGTTCCTTTAAACGTCTCATTTTTCTACGGAAGAAGTCCGAAAATAGTAGGTTTGTGAGTTCAGCTAGGTTCAATTAGGACAAATTTCAATTAAACGAAGTGTCTCGCGTTTAGGGATGTCCCACGATTCAGAGGAGGGCTATTCCATTCGAACAATTTGCTTCAATTAATGGAACGAATGTTTTATCGAGCCTGTTAGTTTCTTCGCCTCTGGTTCAACCTTCTTCTTACGAGGAATTATAGCACGATTTATGGCTTCTCGAACGATCTCTTTAGAGTTGGTTTGTTATTGAAAATCTTCTTGGAAAATTCGAACTTCTCCTCGAGAATTTTTCCACCGGATGCTGAATAATTGGCTCCGTTCGCGAGAATTCTGGCGAATTATTTACACGTGTTAAACAATTACTATACCACAGTGTTCCTGGAAACATGGCTGGGGCCGTAAAAGTTTCTCGATGCTTTGCAAACCACGCTCGCTCGACACCTCTATTGTCCCGTTCCGATATGTAACGGTGTTTCGGATATTTTTCTCGGTACATGTTCTTTATCGCGTTAGCAACAGTGTGCCTTACAAACAAACGGCTTAAACTGTGTTTTTAATGATATAAAGTCAATTAGTTCGGGCTAAGTCGCGACGTGACTCCTTGGAGAACTGTAAACATGGCGACTCGTGAGAGGAAGTTCAATATTTGGCTGTAATTCCTTATTTTTGTTTGCGATAATGTTCCATTTCCACTTGGGAAATGGGGAAATGTGGAATTTAAGCTTTGAAAGTGGAGAAAAGTTGAATTTTCGCTTCGAAAATTTAAGGAACGTTGGTTCCACTTTGAAAATTTAAAGAATACAATTTCCACTTTGAAAATTTAAAAATAAATGCAATTTCCGCTTTGGAAATTTAAAGAATACAATTTCCACTTTGAAAATTAAGAAAAGATACAATTTCCACTTTGGGAATTTAAAAAAAAGTACCATTTCCACTTTGAAAGTGTAAAAAAGTGCAATTTCCATTTTGAAAATTTAAAGAATACAGTTTCCACTTTGAAAATTAAAGAAAAATACAATTTCCACTTTAGGAATTTAAAAAAAGTACCATTTCCACTTTGAAAATTTAAAGAACACAATTTCCACTTTGAAAATTAAGAAAAGATACAATTTCCACTTTGGGAATTTAAAAAAAGTACCATTTCCACTTTGAAAGTGTAAAGAAGTGCAATTTCCATTTTGAAAATTTAAAGAATACAGTTTCCACTTTGAAAATTAAAGAAAAGATACAATTTCCTCTTTGGGAATTTAAAAAAAGTACCATTTCCACTTTGAAAGTGTAAAAAAGTGCAATTTCCATTTTGAAAATTTAAAGAATACAGTTTCCACTTCGAAAATTTAAAGAACACAATTTCCCCTTCAAACCTACAAAAAAATAAAATTTCCTCCCCGAAAAATTAAAATCTGAAAAAAATTCAAATGGCGCACAAGCAAATGCCCAATTCCACAATTTTTAATTAAAAAATAAATGCTCCCGAAAAGAATCAGCATGAAAGAGCGTGCACGTCAGAAAAACCCGACGAGAAATGAGCAGAAGTAGGAGCGTTTTCATTTAATCCTAAATGAAAACATCAACGTTCCCGTTAACCGAGAAGTCTAGCGAGAACCGCGCGGTTTAAGCGAATCGCCAGAAGGCCCAGATTAATTAACAGAATAATTTATGACACGTGCTCATGCACAGGGTG